TCCTGGGAATTTTAAAGGTGGATACGGCGAAATTAATAAACTGTATAAAGTCAGAAGAACTTGACATAGGGCGAATGAAAGGATATAAAGCGAGTATTCGTCTAAAAGAAAATAGTCACCCAGTCTATTCTGAATCTCGAAAAATACCCATTTACATTCTACCCATGGTAGTTGCAAAAGTAACGAAAATGGTAGAACAAGGCATACTGTAGAAAATTACCCAATGTGGTATCAGTTGGGTTCACCAATTGTTGCGATACGTAAGTAAAATGGTGATTTGAGAATATGCGGGGATTATACAAAATAGGTATAAATCATCTGATATGCTCGGATTCATTCCCTTTTCCTAACATAGAAACGGAAAATCATGAATTAACAAGAATAAAATACTTTGCCAAGATTGACCTATAATCGGCATGTAACCAAATAAAAAATGACGAAAAATACTACAATTAATACCCCAATAGGCTTACTAAGATGAACTTAAGACAAGCCATATTTTTCAAAAAAACTGTTGAAAAAGTGCTATCGGAAGGTGGTAAAAAATATACGAAGACGATATAGGCATAGGTGCTTGCAGTAAATGAACAAGTTTTAAAAAAATTAAAAAAGGCTAGTATGAAGATAAATAGCGAAAAATGTGAGTTATCCTGGGGAAAAAATATCGTATTTGGGATACTAAATATCTAAAGAGTGAATTTCACCAGACTAATAAATAAGAATTAGAAGTATCTAGATTTAGAATCCTTTTAGGGATTGACCATTTTTCTAGCAAATATATACTTACATACAGCGACCTAAAAGTTCCATTTGAAGAATTACGGAAAAAGAATACTGAATTTAAATGAACTCAAAGACAAAATATAGCTTTTGAAAGCTTAATAAAGGCATTAATAAGAAAACCGATAGCAAAAATCTTTGATCCAAAAAACGAAGTGACATTGACTACTGATGCAAGTGAACATGCTATAGACACAATTTTATCTCAAGAAAGTAATCCAATAATGTACCTGTCGAGAAAATTAACATCAGCTGAAGATAACTAACCAAATATTGAGAAAGAATAGTTAGTATGAAGTGCAGAAAGAGCTCGAAATGTTTTGTTAGGAAGCAGAAACTTTTTGTTAACGTCAAACCTTTAGAGTTTGTATTTAACCCTAGAAAGGAATTACCAAAAGTCACATCTTCTAGAATTTTAAGATGGGCTATAAAACTCATGGCCTTTGATTATGTTATGCCATAGTACCTATTCTATTGTAATGGACTCTCCCATAGATAATAAGTAAGAGTAGCAGTGGCAAGTCTGGCAGAATGGTGTTGAGCGCGTCAGTCGAGATTCGGACATTTGAAGTATCCACCATCACAACTAGATTTGCTGCGTCATTGACTCTTATTTTCCACGTTCCTAACGTTTTGTACGTCGGACCTAATTTAGGATGACTTATTAGAAATACAAGCCTCCACTGTGAAAATACTCCACAACAGATTACGACATAAACGGCAACACTATGCCGCTATCCAAACAAAACTTTTAACAGTAAAAATTAGAAAATTCAGAAAATAAAATACTGCATTGTGTTGAAATGGACGTGTTACCCATAAATCGTCTCAGAATAGAAACTTTAAAGATCAAGTGTGAAGTAAAATTTCAAACAGAATAAAAAGAAACCAATTGAGCAATTGTTCAATGGCCGAAAGACCCTACAAAGGATCAAGGCATAAGTTAACTGTAAAGGAAAGCATATTATTCAATGGAGATATTATAATACTCACAGAAAATTTAAGAAAAGAAGTACTAAAATGTGTACACGATGATGTACATTTTGGTATAACAGTGACACGAATGAAATTCAAATTACAAGAAGCGTTAGCAATAATAAGGAGCACAGAAAGAGCTCGATTTTTGTTGTTAGACCGAAAATTTTTGTTAAAGTCAAATCACAAACTTTTAAATGAATTAGCAAAATTAACATCTTCTAGAACTTTAAGGTGGGCTATAAAACTCATTGCCTTTGATTTCGGCATCATATACGTAAATGGAAACAATATTCCATATGTGGATGCGCTATCTAGACTAAATTTCGACAGCAAATATTAGAAACGTCTAAAAATTCGGAAGATACTGTACTGGGTTGAAACAGACGTTTTACACCTAAATCATCTCAGAATGGAAACCATAAAAGATCCAGTGTTAAGTAGAATTTCAGAGAGCAGAAAAAGAATTAAGAATAAAAAAGAAACCCATGGAGTAATTGTTCAATGGCAGAAAGAACCTTCAAAGAATCAAGATATAACTTAACTGTAGTGAAGGGCATATTATTCAATGGAGATATTATAATACCCACACAAAATTTTTTAAAAGTTCTAAAAGGTGTACACAATGATGTTCATTTTTGTATAAGAGCGACACAAATGAGGTTCAAATTACAAGCGTGGTGGCCGGGATATTCCCGAGACGTAGAATATTATGTAGAAAGTTGCCCAAAATGTACTGAAATAAAAAACTTTCGGCAAAAAAAATTCACTTGTGGCCTAAAGAAAAAGAACCATGAGCTTGAGTACACATGGATCCTGGCCATATTAAAGTCATGGGGTTATTTTTAATTTTAGTAGGCTCATTTTCAGGATGGCCTGAAGTAATTTGGGGTTGCTGACAGAAAAGCCATCACCGTAAAACAAATATTAAGTACAATATTTTCAAGGAATGGGACGCCTAAAACTTTGGTCTCAGATAACGCGCCAGAATTTTGCGAGGAAAGTTTGTTCCCATGGCAAAAATTTATTGGATGCGTCCCATATAAAATACCACCCTACCACTCACAATCAAATGGAATCGAAGAAAGAATGGCGTAAACTTTGAAAATGGGACAAAAAGCATTTTCCACATCTAAAGATATAGAGTTACTTACTGTTAAGTTATAAGATATGTCCACATGCCAGCAGACTGCAAAGTCCCTCGTCATTAATGGGTGGACAGAGTAAAGGTCCCATAACAATGTCATTTTCAACAAATGAAAGTGTATAGTATAAAAAGACAAATGATTTAGTCCAGAGAAGGCAAACTTTGTAGTACAGAGTTCTAATAGAATTTCCTCCTTGTCTGAGAATGATTATTCATATCTTGGGCAAGTCGACCATTAACATTAATTAAAACAAAATATCTGCCGTTTTTAATATATATATATATATATATATATATATATATATATATATGAGCAATAAATTTTTACACACACACACACACACACACACACACACACACACACACATATATATATATATATATATATATATTCCTGAAAAATGAATTTCAGTTGAGCTCTCTGGGGAGTAAGTGTGGGTTTGTAAACAGTGACTATTACGGCTCATAATGCAAGACTCTTCGATAAATTGGATCGATTTCTATCAGTCACTGTGTGTTTATCTAAAAATAAATAAGTTTAAATTCACTTTCATCCATCCTGTGCGCCAACGGCTTAGTGGTAGAATCCCTGACTGATGCTAATTCAATCGGGTTTCGATCCTAGCTAGAGGCAACCGGACGTCTATCCACACTGATGAGCTGTTATACAACGAAACAGCCTGTCTGTGGATGACACTATATATATATATATATATGCATTCAAAAAGTATCTGACTTTATTTTATCCTGCCAAAACATATGCCGCATGGGTAAAATCCTTTGGGGTGGCCATGGAGGTGATGCCACCCTTCCCGAAAATGTAAGAAAAGGGGAGGAGGAGACTAATGAATTCATTAATGAAACTGAACAATCTGACGCGGAGCCGGAAAAGGAAAATTAAATCAAACGTAGCTTCCTATGACAAAAAAAGAACCAGAAAGATAGTTTAGATCCCCAAGAATAGTTAGAAATCAAAGATCAACGAAAGGCATAAGGCCACTTCGGTTCAGGGAGATGTAGTATTGTATGTAAATGATGTATTGCCATAAAACAGAACACCACAGCGAATTCCAGTCGAGCTACCATCCATTGACCAGACAACGTCTATTTCAGAAAGCTTTCTACTTCATAATAATATAGTATATATATTGTATATTAACATATTATATATATAGTATAATATAGTATATATATAGTATAATAATAACATAGTATATATATGGTATAATAATATATTAATTTAGTATATATATTATAATATAGTATATATATATAGCATAACAATAATAATATAGTATATATATAGTATAATAATAATATAGTATATATATAGTATAATATAGTATATATATATTATAATAATAATATAGTATATATATATAGTATAATAATATATTAATATAGTATATATATAGTGTAATAATATTATAAGTATTCTACTTCATAATAATATAATAATAATATAATGATTTTTCTACTTCATAATAATATAGTATATATATATAGTATAATAATATAGTATATATATAGTATAATAATGTATATATATAGTATATATATATAGTGTCATGGGTCGTTACCTATAACTACAGAATGAACTCTTCCTAACATTATGTATACTACACCCCTCAAGAGAGAGGGACGAATCGAGTCGAGCCGATAGTAGTTCACTCCAAACCAGACTGACAGTCATACTAACACCTTTCTCATCTTTTATTATTATTTCATGTAATATACCTTCGTTATTTCTACCCTTGTGTTCGTGTTGTTCTTCCTTGGTCCTAACTTGGACTATAACATAGTATAATAATATAGTATATATATAGTAAATATATATATATATAGTATAATAATATAGTATATATATAGTATAATACTTCATAATAATAACATTGATTTTTTTTTGTTGCAGAAGAATTTAAACATTATGGGAAATTTTCCTAGAAATAGTAATTTAAACAAGTACTCAGGTTTTGTACAGAAAAATTTATAGATAAGAAGTAAATATGGAGTTTTGAATACAGCCCCAATGAAATGTAGACGTTGGCTTGCACCGAAACACATGTAGTCATGTTATTTCATTCAAATAGGGTAGAATATGATTGCGATATTGAATTCTGTTGAAATTGGTAAATATTTTTCTTCTTTAGATATAACCTTTGCACTCAGCTTTTCCCCACCAAGCACTGAGTTTTCAACCCAATAAATGTATTGCAAATATATTAGGCGAAACCTCTTTTGGGGAGTTTAAATTCGATATACACACATGCTACTAAAATATTTATAACATAAAATCTAAAAATACACAGGAAATTATAATATATATATATATATATATATATATATATATCATTATATCATCCTTGTCTACCCATACGGATTACCTAGTTTTCCATAAAAAACTAACTAACTAACTAACTATATATATATATATATATATATATATATATATATATATATGAAAATATATAAAAATAGGAAAAAAACTCGTTAGGTAAATAATCCAAAGTTCTTTAGTATTTTTGTTATTATTTAAAAAAAACAGTGCTCGATAAAGAAAAGTAGACCCTAAATATAATTATTTATTTAAAAATATGATTCCATCGCTACATAAGAGTTCTCATGTTTCAAAAACAAGAGCTAAAAACTTTAATTCAATTTAATTCAAATAATTATATTGAAGTTTTCGGCTCTTGTTTTGAAACATGAGAACTCTTATGTAGCGATGGAATCATATTTTTAAATAAATAATTATATATATATATATATATATATATATATATATATATATATATATATATATATATATATAAAGCACCAATCAGACTGACAAGATGTGTAATTAATCAGTATTTGATTGATTGATCGATTTGTTTCCATGACTCATCCACGCTTTACAGGGTAATTAAAGTTATATTTTTTTTTTAGATTGTAAGAATTTCTTTTGGCGATAATAATGGTTTAGGGATACAAGTATTACTAATTATTCCATAGCTGGTGTGCGGAGAAGAGGTGGATTTATACCTTTCCCAAGGGTATTTGCGTGTAAGTGAATATAATGGACCTCAACTGGAATTTGAACTCGGCTCTCCGATTAACAATTTCGAGCCATTATCCATTATACCACAAGCGCAGTTTAAGCTTATAGCGCTTGTTATTCAAAAGCAGTCACCCATCTAGGTCCTCACCAAGCTGGTCGCTGATTAACTTCGGTGATTCAACGGAGACCGCTGCTTTCAACGTGATATGTCCATAAGCCTGTAAACAAAATAGTTAGTACTATTCAACATTTATTTGTTCTAAGGTCTCGCGTCTGTGATGACGACAAGAAAAGCAAATCAAAACAACATTTTCCATATGGGTATCTGTAGCTTAAATAAGTCTGTATTGCTGCAATGTCACTTGTACAAATCACAATATCGCTGGTTCAATTCACTGTCCTCGCTTTCTTCACACGTCACTACGTATAAGCCAACGTTTCTATCCCTTTTTTCACGGCTCCAGCACTCTTTTATCAGGCCAACACCGTGGTTCACCAGCCAATCAGCATTCTTCGCTGTTATTCTCGGTTACACAGGCAAATTGCCTCCTCCAGTTCGACCAATCAGCACACGACTTGCTATTGGTGGAAGCATGCCAAACTGTACAAAACCCCCTCATCATTACACATACTGCTAGAATGGCTGGAAGGGGGACACCTCGAGGTGGTGTAATGGCTAGCAAGCTTGTCTCGCTAGAACAATTACGATTGGGTTGTGAGTTCGATACTCACTGGGTACCCCCTACTTTCGGCCTTGTGCCACATCTGGAAAATCACTAGAATGGCTGGACGGGAGACTAATGCCATTTTCACGAAGCAAACTTGCTGATGTCACGTGCCGAACGTTAAGGTAAGGCCCTTATTTTCCTATACACCAGATGCAAGCCACTCTGGCTTGCTTGCTCCTACAGGGATGTTCACCATAGTATCATACCCCATGTTAGTTTCGGAATGAGAAAAAGAAACTTCTGAGATAGATTACAGAGTACAGGGGCTAAGATAATGATCACTTCGATGAAGTAATAATGTCTATAGGACATATTTCAGTAACAGGTTAGGCATGAAAACAGCACCCACTTTTTGTAGGTCATTTAAAGCAAGAAAAAATGGTTTTAGATCATAAGAATATTCTTAAAGATAGTAATGATTTACCCATAAAAGTTCGACTAGTTAACCCATAGCTAGGGAGATGAGCTTCTTCCAAGTAGGTACTGGTATTACAAGTATATGATCCAGGATTAGGCACCATACAAAAATGGCGGACAACAGAATGATACCTTTTCCCAAGGGTATTTTGCGTAAGAGAATATAAGGAACTCGACTGGAATTGAACCTCGGTTCTCTGAGTTCGAATTCCGAGCCGTTATCTATTACACACCTAAGCTTACAGCACCTGGTATTCCCAAGCAGTCACCCATCTAGGTACTGACCAGGTTCGACGTTGCTTAGAGTCGATGTTCGTACGTGTTATAGCTGTAAGATATTTGATTCTGATGTGGGTTGATGGAGATTCGTCGTCTTTTTAAAATTGAAACCCTCAAAGCGAAGAGTTTTGTAGCAAACAGAATCATCTTCTTTTATGTTTCGAGGGTAATTGGAATGATTGATTTGAAAAAGTAAATATTTTGAACTAATAAAGTGTATGTACGCTTTTTAGTTATTTTCAATAAGAATGACGCTAAACTTTCACCGATCCCAGATGCCATTCGTAATTACATTAGAATGTTGATTCGATGAATAAGAACTGACACGTGCTAATGAACACGTTGTGGTGACTTATTTACTTGTGTAAAGAAAGGATAACAACCCCAGTTAATCTGAGATTTTCCTGAAATCATTTACAAGATTTAAGTACTATCTATCTATCTATCTATCTATCTATCTATCTATCTATCTATCTATCTGTTCGTATCTATCTATCTATCTATCTATCTATCTATCTATCTATCTATCTATCTATCTATCTGTTCGCATCTATCTATCGCAGTCTGTTCGTATCTATCTATCTATCTATCTATCTATCTAACTGTTCGAATCTATCTAGCGCAGTCTGTTCGTATCTATCTATCTATCGCCGTCTGTTCGTATCTATCTATCTATCTATCTATCTATCTATCTATCTATCTATCTATCTATCTATCTGTCTGTTTAAATCTATTCATTTATTTACAAGCTATGCCTAGAGTAGTTTTGCATATTTTTGTTCTGGGCTTCGCCAATAAAGAATACTTCGTAGAGTTTTACGTTTAATTAATTTTACTGTCTCTCTTACTTGAATTCCAAAGGAGAAAAGAGGAAGTAATAAATTCTATCTATCTATCTATCTATCTATCTATCTATCTATCTATCTATCTCAATCTGTTCGCATCTATCTATCTGTCGGTTCGTATCTATCTATCTATCTATCTATCTATCTATCTATCCCAGTTTGTTTGTTTTCTTTCTCATCTATATATATATATATATATATATATATATATATATATATATATATATATATATATATATGCATGTTTCATTAAAAACGACAGACAAGTTTTGTGTTCGAACAAGAGCTTTCTTTTTCTGGACAAAGGGTTGTAAGAACTGTCCAAATGTTTTATAAGCACTATGTTGAAATGTTCATCTATTTAGAGGAAGAGTCGTTGGCGGAACTTTGCCGTATATTAGGAGGCTCATCGATATTTCCTTCCGTGTGAAATGAGTCCTATGTTAGATCCGAAGATATGTCCACAGAGAGCAGTAATTTTGTTAAGAAAGGTGAAAATAGGGAAAAATGCCTCGTAGATTAATATTTGGGTAATTTCTATGGCGGAACTCTCTAGAATTTTCCTTCTGAGTTTATTTTATTTTTTATGAGTGTAGCATTTTAAAAATCAGAATTATTGTTTATTTCTGTATTACTAGTGCATTAGCTAAGTTGTTTTTGTGGAGGTCTATAAATGCTTTTTCCCTATTTCACCTTTTTTTTTTAACAAAATTACTGCTTCCAAACAAACGTACACAACAATATCGTAAAATCAAAAAGAGCATGGTTGAATCCGTCAACACAGTTATAATGACAATATTCTCCACACGTATCGTTATTTTCACTATATGAAAATAGCATTCTATTCTTGCTATTCTTTCTGTTTTTTTATTATTAGTTATTTTCTTAAATTAAATTCATTGTGTTCTGGCAAGAGCTTTTTCTGGACAAAGGGTGTAAAAACTGTCCGAATGTTTTGTATTTCCTATCTTTAGCCATTATCAAGTCGATTATCAGCTTAGTAGAGTGTGTGCGTGTATGTTCTATCTATCACATTATGGCTTTGCCATGGTGACATAGCACCCCTGACCTGAAAGACCCAAAAGCCGAAGGTTTGAAGAACCAAACAACCCTGAAATTTTAACACCAAAACTAAAAAAGGCTGCGAATGAGTTAAAAAACAACCCTGACATTGTCATCAAACGAGCCGATAAATCTAACACATATGTCATACTCGACAAAGCTGATTACCAACAAAAATTATTGTCGATGACCGATCTAAATTCACCAAATTGAAAAGAAATCACACTGAGACTTTAAAAAGGTCCGTTAACAAGCTAATAACAGCTCACAACGCGGAAGTCGGTTCCCTGAAAATTCAAAAAATAGTTGGAGATTACCATCCGGGATATCTATATGGAAACATAAAAACACATAAACCAGGATACCCACTACGACCAATTATTTCCCAGATACCAACACCTATCTACGAGCTATCAAAATTCCTTAATGATATCATCACCCCATACCTACCTACCAATTACAGCATCACCTGCACCCACGAATTCCTACAAATTTTAAAAACTACAAAAGGAACAAATCAAGGTATAATAGGGTCACTGGACGTCGAAAACTTATTTACAAACGTTCCCGTCGACCAAACTATCGATATTATCCTCAACTCTATATACAATAATAATTCCATCCCTCCGCCATCCGTCAAACCATCCATCCTAAAAAAATTACTACACGCATGCACAACCAAAGTCCCCTTCTATGACCATAATGGCAATATTTATACCCAAACTAACGGTGTTAGTATGGGAAATCCATTCGGTCCATGCTTTTCCAACTATTAAATGTCCCATGTAGAAAATACTATATTTACACACGTCCACAAACCGAAAATCTATGTTCGCTACGTAGACGATATCTTTATTTTAGCTGATAACATTAAAGAAATAGAGACACTTAAGACCACATTTGAGAAAAACTCCGTCCTTAACTTTACATATGAACTTAGCCAAAAAAAAAACAAACTACCATTCTTAGATATCCTCGTTGAACATAACAATAACACTTTCATTACATCATTATACAAAAACCCACCAGCAAAAACTCGTGCCACCTTAATTTCAAAAGTGAATGTCCCACTTAGGTACAAAATAGCAGTAATAAAAAACTTTCTAAATAGAGCCCACCAAAACTCATCCTCTCGACTACTCTTTCTCAAAGAACTTAACAACGTTAAACAAACACTAATCAACAACGGTTTCCCTAACTACCTTATAGACCAACAAATTAGACTATTCCTCCCCAAAGCAAGTAATAACGATAGCGAACACACAGCTCAAAACCACACACACATTTATTACAAAAACCAAATGCATATTAATTACAAACAAGACGAATCTTCTCTAAGGCATATTATAAAGAAATATACTACTCCTATTGATCCGAATAAAAAAATCAAACTTATTATCTATTATAAAAAATTTAAGACGGCCAACCTTATCCTCAAAAATAACAACACACCAACTAAGTCAAAATTACAAAGAACAAACATTATCTATGAGTTCAAATACCCTTTAAGGAACTGCGTTCCTCACCAAACCGGACTCATAAATAATTACATCGGCTACACAACCACATGTTTATCCAGACGTCTTACGTTACACCTATCTGATCACAGCTCCATCAGAACACATTTAAACACACACTCAGATTTACCCGACACTATTAGGAACATACTAGTAGAAAACAGAAATATATTAACTGCATCCACCTGCAAAAAAAGACTAAAAATAATGGAAGCTCTAATAATAAAAAAGAAAAAGCCAACTCTTAACAATATTAACTATGAACAAAGCCACAATTTGCTAACCGTATTCGGAAATTAAAAACATCCCTACCACACACTAATACATACACAGAATGCACACACTCAATTAGGCTGAAAAATCGAATCATCCTTGATAATGGCTAAAGCAAAGGTATAGCCGAAAGCGCTCGGAAATACAAAACATTCGGACAGTTCTTACACACCCTTTGTCCAGAAAAGAAAGCTCTTGTCAGAACACAAGAAAAATTAAATAAAAAGCTCAACCGTAGTACCTTGTCTGTCGTTTTTAATGAAACATGCATAAAGGAAGGATTGCTGCCTAAATATACAACTATATATATATATATATATATATATATATATATATATATGATTGTGTTTTGGATAGCATTCCCTCATTTATACAAGTTCCATTAAAACATAGAGAACATTCGGATAATTTCTACATCATTTATGTCTAGATAAGAAAAATTATAAGAACACAAGAAAAATTAAATAAAAACTTAACTGCAGTAACTTGTGAGCTGTCTTTTAACGAAACACACACACACACACACACACACACACACACACACACACACACATATATATATATATATATATATATAAATGATATAAATAGAAAAAAACAAACAAAATCCATAAATTTCATTTTAACTTTTATGGATTTTGTTTGTTTTTCGTCCAATATATAAAATGACAATAGGAAAAACTGGATTGCTTTTCGTCCAAAGGACTTTCTCAAAAAAAACGAAATGAAATTAATTAAAGAAAGTAACTAATAATAACAAAAAACAGAATGTTCTTAGCAACTGGAGGAAGGTAGAGAATGATATTTTCATATTGTTAACTGAAAATAACGTCAGTTATTGTCACGTGTGGAGAATATTGTCATTATAACTGTGTTATGCTCTTTTTGATTTTACGATATTGTTGTGTACGTTTGTTTGGGAGAGCAGTAATTTTGTTAAAAAAGGTGAAATAGGGAAAAAGCATTTATGAGCACAAAAGATACCTCACAAAAACAACTTAGCTAATGCACTAGTAATACATAGAAATAAATTCAACAATAATTCTGATTTTAAAAATGCTACACTCATAAAAAAAAAAAATAACTCACTCAGAAGGAAAATTCTAGAGAGTTCCGCCATAGAATATTACCCAAATATTAATCTACGCCCAGGCTTTTCCCTATTTCACCTTTCTTAACAAAATTACTGCTCTCTGTGGACATATCTTCGGATCTAACATAGGACTCATTTCACACGGAAGGAAATGTCGATGAGCCTCCTAATATACGGCAACGAGTTCCGCTAACGACTCTTCCTCTAAATAGATGAACATTTCAACATAGTGCAACTATTGAATCTCTTATAATGAGGGTCTATCATTGAACTCTTATAATATTCTTCTTTGTTCCGTTTTTAGCTATATGCAGGTCCTCATTTATTGTAGAGAATTTTTAAGGTGCCTCATTTTTTATGGAATAGTTTTAAGGTACCTCATTTATTGTGGAGAATTTTAAGGTATTTCATTTATTATGGATTAGTTTTAAGATAGCTTATTTATTATGGAATAGCTTTAATGTACCTCACTTATTATGGAATAGTTTTAAGGTACCTCATTTATTATGGAATAGTTTTAAGGTACCCCATTTTTTCAATTTCAATTTAAAGATCCTTGTATTTACATTTTTGTTAGATACATTTTTATCTGATGACATTCATATATCTATGAGATGGCCTGTTTTTTGTTATTATTATTTAAAAGAAAATTCACTTGACCAGCATTTGTTTTATAAGCAATTTTCGTGACGTAACCAATGACCGTAGACAAGCGAACAATGACATATTTTTTGCTTTCCACTTAAAGCAAAGACCGCTATTAAAAAAAAATAAATGGACAAAGCTCTTCGAAGATATAGGCTGTGTTTGTTAGAATATTTTTTATTTCCTGTAGAGATGGTGCACCAGGGATTTTTTTAAATTTGTTGTTGAGCTTCTTTCTTTATCAGACCCAAAGCTCCAACCACAGCAGGAACAGTTTTAAGCGCCACATCTTTTTCTATTTGCACTTCCAAGGTTTTGTATTTTCTTAATTTTGAAAAACCTTTGCAGAGATATTTTTGTCATTTGGTATGCTCTTATCAATCAGTGTGCAAAAGTTTTTTTTTTCCTTTTCTGTCTTTGATAATAATAATTGGACGGTTAGCTTGTATTATTCAATCTGTGTTGATAGAAAAATCCTAGAGGAACGAAACATCTGCTCCCTTAATTACAGATTCAGGAAGATGTTCATACCAGTTTGTAGCTGTTTTTATTCTATGGTGGCGTCAA